TTCTTGAGAAAAGCTCACTGAAGGATGACTTTTGGCTCTTCCCATGCAAGTCAGAGAGCTTGCACCGTCCCTTCACTCATGAGCACATGAGAGAGGCTGGGGAGCGAAGATTTTTGCCTCACACTACTGTCCCTGGGTGGGTGTGTCTGTTGTGAGCAGTCAGATTTTACACGTATGGCACATCTGCTTCAGATGCCTCCCTGAGCTCTCTGCAAACTTTTTTCTTTCACTGTCCCAAACAAGACTGATAACATTCTTCTTGAGAGTGATAGGAGACTCATTTCTCTTTGAACATTTTGCTGGTAATCCATCTCAGTGTACACGTCCGAATGACCTAAGCGCACAGTTCTCTGTAGCCAGGAGGAGCTCTCCCAGACAACAAGATAGGGGTCTAAAAGAAACAGCAAACGGAAGGTGGACATGCGTGCCTTCAGGTGTTCTTCAGGTACCTGAGGGGGTTGTGGTGAATAGAATCACATAGGCAAGGTCATCTTTCTTTTGCATCCACCGCCTTGTTTCATCACTATTGATTCCAAGTTGCTAGAGATTAAGATTCTCCTAGTATATATCCATGCACCCCTTGAATCAACCTGTTGCTAAGGAGGAAACTGAGTTGGCACAAGCTAACTGTGGGGTGGACTAGCACCCAGAGTAATTCATCTCTGCTTTGGAAGTGTCCAAGAGGAGGTTATCTGACCCAAGAGGGATTCTGCAAGAGGAATTCTTGCCTTGGGTAGAAGGTTGGACTTGAGTGTTCCCTGTCAGACTTTGTCAGGAGAATTTACATGTTAATTTGAGAAATTGTAGAACTCTTAAGCCTGGCTTCAGGGTATTATTTACATGAATTGCAAACTAGATTTTTTTTCTCTTTTTAAAAAGTAGTCTCTCATTGACAATTTTTCTGAGACGTGCATCCATTAAAGTCCGCCATACTCAAAGTTGTGTAGACCTTCATCCCTGAATTTTATAATCATATATTTTATTTAGTGTTGGGGTGGCTTCTGAGGAGAGAAAAGGTGACAGGTGAGGCTGCTGCAGAGGAATGGTTAGGGCACCATAATGGAAGAGACTGGGCAGTCTCCCTGGTCTTGGGGCCACATTCCACTCCTACTAGTTCCTACCCTGAGACCTAGAGATGCCGTGACTCAAGTCTCTTTTCTCTACTGCAAACCAGAGAGAATGCTTCTTGGACTGCAGTGACATCATTTAGGATGCCTCAGCATGTTGAGCGCCTGGGTCTTTGATGGTGGCTGTCTTCTTCAGTGTATCGCACATGGTCGGTTACGTGACCATGTCTTCTGGAGTTTTGGGAAGTGGAAAACAGGTCACTTTGAGTGATCTGGGTTCTAATTCATGGCACGCATGTTGATTCTATGGAAATGAGATTCCATTTATCACTGGGGAAAAATTAATCATCAAAAATATGTAGCACATACTGTGTACTCATCAGCTCTGAAAAGGCAAAAAAGATTAACTCATCAGACTATTTTTTTAGAACAGTAGAAGAAGCTGTCATTTTATATTTCAAAAAGAAGAGTGTCTGCTAGCAACATGTAGAAAATCTCAAAATTCTGTGTTTGCCTTTGTGCCTTTCTTACTAATGAAAGGGAAGGTAGAATAGTGCATATCTTACAAATGTAGAGAGAGTAATTTTTTTTCAGCTTTAATTGAGTTTATTGGTACATTTTAGGGATACAGTACAGTTACATTCATTGTTGGGATCTTGTACCTCTACATGACAAGTCTTGGTTCTCATTTTTTCCCCTTGTCCCTGAGAGAGTAATTTTTTAAATGTTGTCAGATTCTCTAACCGTTTCTCCTCCCATTCATTGAATCCTTTCTTTGACAAGCTCCTTGTCTAGGTGTGCTTCTGAGCACAGACAGTTAGGTACGGCTCCCCCTACCCAGAGCTCTGCCAGCAAGAGGGCAACAGTCAGCCAGCACTGTCCCTAGTCACAGGGAGCTGGGGTCCCACACAGGCTCCCCGTGTGGGACCCCTTCCCTGTGCTGCAGGAAAAGCTGTCACCAAAGAGCAAATGAGAATTGGTGTTAAGAGCAGGACTGGAGAGATCAAGAACTGCAGAGACACAGAGCTGAGGCCAAGGGCCAGTTCATTCCTTTCAGAAGCACCCACTTTCCATTTTCAGCCTGCAGCATCCTTAGCATTTCCTCCACCCACTACCTACCATTTAAGAAAAAAGTTTAGGGTATATGAAGGGCCAGAGATTTTTTCAAGCGATGGTACATAAAAAGAGAACCTTCAGAAGTTGCAATGTTGGAAACCAAAGTTCCAGCTTCTTACCCCTTTTCTTAGAAGGCGAAGTATCAGGATGGTTTTTCAGGACTTAGATTTAAAGTAGATTCCTGTTCTAGTTAATAGTCACTTCAGTTTTTGACCTTTCGTGATTTTAGCTTCTATACAATAGCAGTTCTTTCACACGAATTCTTACATGTTACTCAGTACTAAACAGAATCTGCTCCTCCTGCTCTGGGCAGTCAGACTGATCTTGGGCCATACACTTTCTTGCACGTGAGCAAGTCTGTTTGGGCAGTAGAGTGTAGCTGTAGTGTCTCCTCAGCTAGGCCCGACAGGCGTAGTGGTAGTTTTCTGTGTCGGGGCTCGTCTTGCCACCCACTTTCTGGCCTCCCCAGGCCTCTCCACTGCCTGCACTGCACCATGTAGTGATTGATGGGCAGCCCTGCAGCGGCCTTAGAAGACACCTAATTTAACCTGCTCATTTTACTTGATTGGGTAACTAAGGCCCAAGAGGCTTTGGGTTTTGTCTAAGGGCTTTCATTAATTAACAGCAGGAATTGGAGTTTTCAGAAAGAGATGTTTCCTTAGCCTAAATCAAATGTTTGGCAACTTGATGAGGCAGGTGTAACTTCTCCAGGAGTATATTGCATGGAAGTGGAAGTTTTCATGTTATTGATAAATTTGTTTTACTCCTTTATAGAATATACCATTAGCAAACTAGAACTCTCAAAGTTTACACAGTAGTGAAAGTCACATTTAAGTATTACAGACTTTTTTGAGGTTGTGTTATATGCTTAACAGAGATGTGAGATGCCAAGTTGTCCTTATTTCAAAATGTTTAAAAATAACTGATTTTTTTTTCAGTACTTGTTCATGTTTTCAAAGAGACAACGAGTTCAATCCCTGGTACAAAAAAAAAAAAAAACAAAAAAAGAGAGAGAGACAAGACATAAAAAGTGCTTATTTTCTAGAAAACATACATATTTTGCCATGTGATGCTGAGCCAAGAATACAGAAGCAGGGGTTATAATCTCTAGTAAAGTTGTGTTTCTGATTTCAAGTGTGTGAAACATGAGTCCTGGGCAGTGCTCCAGCAGGAGTTGGATTTTCAGTGTGCTTCTTGGTGTCCATGGTTTTTCAGAGAGGATATATTCCCATAGTGAGGAGCCGGCTGCCCAACCTTGAGTGGCTGTCCCAGCAAGTTATCTGTCTGCACCTTCTGATGGATGAACAGGGCTTGGGTTTGAGCCCTTCCTTGGCTTGTCTCCCTGCCCTGCTGAGCTTGGTGTGCTGCGGCCTGGGCTTGTTGAACTCCCTAGCACTTTAGTAGTCGATTAGCAGTGTGCCTGTTTTTTGGGATTAGAAAGATCCCTAGTCCAACAAGTGACTAGAAAATGGTTTTGTGTTTCCTAATAACTAAATGTGTAACTAATAGCAGCAATCAGTTCCTACACTCACCCTGGTAAAAGCAGGAATACAGATGGTAATAAATACATGAGCACAGCATGGATATCTGAAGGATGTGACTTGAATGTGAATTTCTAAACTCACAAATACACTCCAGAAGAGGGGCCCACTCATGGCAGGCAGCTATCACCGAGACCTGTTTTGTAGCCGGGCCCGGCCCATGTCCTTGTGTGACTCGGGTGTGTGCCCTTATGGGAGGCAAGATCTTTCTTGTCCATCGCCTGGGATTGACTGGCTAGCGCCGAGAGTCTCTGGAAGGTGTCTCATCCTGCGGTGCAGTTTCAGCCCTTATTCAGCTTGTGAGGAACAGAGAGACAGAGTGACCTGGTTTCTGACTCCTATAGCAGCTCTTTCCCCAAAAAATTGCCTGGTGGGATTTCAGCCAGAAACAAATGCTAATAGATCACTTGAACTTTTTCCCAAAACTTGGTTGATTTATCCCACATATTTTGCATCTTGTTTTTGAAATTTCAAATTTAATACATGATTTAGTTTTTTAGCCCAGAGGCTGAAAAAAATAAGGTCAGTGTTTATTTGGTAAATAGTGATGTGAAAAGGTAACATTTAATGCAATAGGGCAGTGGCTACACAAGGCCCCAGTGGTTCCAGATTCTACTAGAATTTCAAACAGGATGCTACTCACTCAGCTTTTTTGGTTTTCTTGAGGGCCACTAGGTCAAGAAAGCACAAGGTCCATTTTGCCTTGTTGGTTTACAGTTAGGTGAGTTAGCTACATAAGCAGAGCATAACCAGCTACATTTACAGTTGTTAGAATCCTCCTCTGGAATCCAGACTGGCTGCACACCGCATGCTGAAGAGAAAGAAGCCCTTCTCCGTGTGGCTCTTGCCCTTTGGGGACAGTTCTCCCATACACATGTTGTCTGTTTCTAGATCAGCACACTAAGGGAGCAGAAATCAATGTCTGTCAAAATCACAAAGCTCTAGAATTTGTGACCCAGGTTTTTATGGGAGACCCTGGGGACTTGATCACTATTTATAGTGTGGTTCCTAAGGAAATGTTTACTCGGAAATCCATCTGGGCAGTTTGCCAACTAAACCTAAGTTAGCTTCTGTCTGTCCAGCTATGATCCCACCTGGTGCTCAGCCAGAAGGCATGTGGCCACTTACGTGCTCTGGGGTCCGGGCCCAGCAGAGGGAGAGGAAGCAGAGGCAGCGGGCTCCCAGGCTCTCTCCTAACTGTGAGTGTGCATGGCCCACAGTATGAGTGCAGAGTGGACAGCTGATGCTTACTGCCTTTAACTCTCTCCCCACCCAGGACCAAGATGAGTGCAGCCCCGCCACTGAGGACAGGAGTGAGACCTCCACCACAACCACCAGTACCCTCACCATCCAGGAATACTTCGCCTACCGCATGGCCCAGTTGAGGAGCAAGCCACAGGACCCCGTCCCTGAGCCTGACCTTCCAGAGACCCATGTGGGGTGGAAAAGGGGAAAGAAAAAAGCCAGAGAGGCAGCGGATCAAGATGTGGAGAATTATCCCCAGACCAAGCCTAAGAAGAAAAAACGGGAAGGAGAGGAGAGCCAGGGACATGTGACCAAGAAGGGAGACCGGGCCATGTGGCAGCCCACAGACCCCTGCAGGGACGAGGCCACTGAAGACTGTGCACAGGCCCCTGGTGACCAGGAGTGTGCCCAGAAGCCCAGAAGGAAGAGAGCAAAGACCAAGCTACAGCAGCCAGTAGAGGTAGCTGCCATTGCTGCCCCAGATGAAGCTCCTGGGAAGAAGAAGAAGAAGAAGAAGAAAAAGAAAGCCTCCAAATGAATTTTCTCCAGCCAGGGCCTCCGACCATTGTGCCGTCAGGTGCCGCCGGGCACTCTCTGGCCCGAAGTCAGAGCAGAGCCAACCCCACGCAGCTGGGGCGCAGCTCCCAACATGCCAGGGGATGCCGAGTCTCGCCCCATCACCTCCAGGAGAACAGTCTCTGCTGTTCCAGACCAAGGCTCTCACACAAATAAATCTTTTAAACTCGGAGCCTCTCACATGAATGTCTGTCTGTACTCATGTGAACACACACATCTGTGTGCACACATGCACTGCATCTTGTCAGTGTGCTCTGGCTCGGACCTCCTTTGGGAACAGGGACTTGTGCTTCCTCCTGAAGAAGTTGATCTAATTAAGGGATTAGGAGGCAATAGTTTGATTCAGAGAGTTCCTTCTGTTCTGTAGCCAACTGCACGTCTCTGCCAAGCCAGAACTATGTGACTGCATTCCACAGTGAGGGGCTTTGTGTGCTGTGCTCTAGTTTGGTGGGGCAGCTCTCCTTGCTGGGTGTCGCAGACTGGTACAGGTAGTCAGCAGCTGTCCTACAATGTCTCTTCCTAACGACAAGTCACTCATCACGGGCTCTGCCCCAGGTGTGACGTCAGGTCAGGAGGTCTGCGAGAGGGTCCAAGCACTGAGATGCTTGGACTGTGGAACCAGTACACCTTGAAGTCACTCTCCTGGCCGGGACTGACTTCAGAGAGCTCTTAAAAGTGTAAATCTATAAATAGACACCTTTTAGCCCTGCCCAAACCGGATGGTGTGCCTTGTAGTGTCTGCGTCACCTTCACCACCTGCTGGCCGGCCTGCCTGCCTCCCGTGGGCTGCTGGCCTAGCCCTGTGTTGGTGTCGTGAAAGGAATGCGGCCCTGACTCCTCTGCCTCCACCTCCCTTCTGCCTCCTTTCCTCCTCATCCTGCACACTTGCATCCCCTCTCACTTGCTCTTGATTTCACTTCTGGTTCTGCTGACTCCTCCCCCTGCCTGCTTCCTGGTCCTGCTGGGGCATCTTGTACAGCTGGCCCTGCTGCTGACCAGGTTGGGCTAGGAGGCCCTGGCTGACTGGCATTGTTCTCCACTTGATTTATAGATCACTTCTAGTAGCAGAAACTAAGACTCACACTCTCATGACCTATTGCCCTTGATTTTAATGCTGAAGGTCAACCATGACATAAGCCCAGCCCCAAGAGTCTTGAAGTTAAGAAATACATGAAACGTGCTTGGGTTTAGTCTATAAGAACAGTGAATGGTACTGTTTGAAAAGAGCCGCACCCAACATCCACACACACACAGGATTCCTGGTCTCCAAATTTTATCATCTCTCCCAGGTTTAGAATCCCAAGCTAATAAAGCCCCAGGATTTGTAAAGTCTCTTTCCTCACAGAGGCCACATGCCTAAGCTACCTCTGCTTGTCCCATCTTGTAGGTGAAACTGAAGGCCCAGGAGGGAGTGGGAATGCGTGAAACCCAAAGGGTACGATCTTTTACAAACATTAAGCCAACTTCTTTTTGCCTTGTATTGCATTAACCTTTACTTCTTCATCAGTAAGGAGAGTCAGGCAGACTGCGACGTGTGTGCTGGAGGGCCAGGAAGCAGGTGGGGCATTTAGGATAGCCGAACAGCTGCGTGGGAGGCTGAGGCAGGACATGCTGCAGGAGGAGTGGCTGAAGTGTGACTTGTACAGAAGGGAGGTGGGTTGGATTGTGACTGTCTTGTGGGTTGGAGAAAGGACTACCAGACAATTTTAACAATCCTGAGAATAAGGCACAAGCTTAGACTGCACCATGGTCATCTGCTTTAAAGGAGGCAGAGCACTTCTTTGTAAGCCCTCAGCTTTGCTTTTTCCACCGTGTCTCTCAAGCCACTTTGTTGAGCATGGAAGCGGAAGTTAATAGCAATGCATTTCATAGGCCTGATATTTTTGAAATTGTTAGCACATATGTACCCTAGTTTTTGCTTGAAATGATCTGGCCAGGTAGAAGATACATTGATTTTATGTTCTGTGCTTTCTTGTCATCCTTCAGCTTGAAGAGGAAAAGTAGGATCCCAGGAAAAGAACTGTTCAATGAGGAGGCTCTTCTATGTTGTTTTGCAGCAACTTCCCTTTTCTATTGCATGTTATTTTTATAAGACGAAGTCTTAGCCAGACACTGTGGTGTGGTGGGTGTAATCCCAGCACTTGAGGGGCTGAGGCAGGAGGATTGCTGCAAGTTCAAGGCTAGCCTGGGATGCATAGTGAGACCTATCTGGAAAAACAGGCAAAAAAAATTTAAAAAGATAAAGTCTTACTTGCCCTTATTTCAGGTTCTTTAAATTGACTGATTCATTCAAATATTCAGACAACGCTATGAGGCAGCCATCATTATTACCTCCTTTATATACAGACACACCTCGTCCAGTATCTACGAGTAGACTAATGCTGTCCGTGGACCCACAGTGCCCAGACCTCTCTGCCATGGTCAAGCCTCAGCTTTTCACCCTTGACCCCAGCCTAGCAGGCTTTCTTGTTGCTGGTACCCAGCACATGTCTGCTTCCAGGTAGGAATGGATCTAGAAGCAGCTGGCAGACAGCAGTAGTATAAGCAACTCAAGCTGGTATCATTTGTATCTGCTGCAGAAGGTGCCCTTGGGTGCTCTGTGCCTTAGATACGCTCAGTGGATTCACTTTTCTAACCTGGTCAGCTGGTTAGCTGGAAATTGGGTGAGTCAGATCCTAGAAGACTGTGTTTGCAAGATGTGAATAAAAAAAGAACTTCTAATTTTTAGGAAATATTGATGTTTTTGGAAGATAAAACTCAAATGAGCACTTGTTCTCTAGCACAGTCGTGCCTGTTTTCTCTCCTTTCTCGCCTGTTTGCTGAGTGGCAGGAGCAGGCCAAGACCTGTCTTCTCAAGGAATCAGAACCATAGGAGAGTTTCGGCGCAATCTCTCCAAGTGATCTCAGCTCAAGATCAGCAAGCAGCGGCTGTATTTAGTTTTGAGTAAGAACTTCCTTGCCACCGCCACCGCCTCCCTGTTTATCTCGCAGCCTCTGCAGTTTGGAGCCTGTTATGCAGGCATGTGGAGCCCAGGAGGTCAGATTGAATACTCTGATGTGATTTTATACTGATGGGTTATTAATGAGCAAATTAGTACCATCCTCTAATGAAGCAGATGACTAAACTCCTTGCACAAAAGGGCACAGTCTCTTTAGGAAATACTGAATGTACTAGAGTTGACATGTACAGCAGTCGCGGAACCAGTAAGGGGGGAAAGGCCAGAGAAAGAAGGGGGACCGAGAGACCCTTGGCCTGAAGGCTCCTTCCTCCTCCTGAGTTGAGTTTTGTATGTTACTAGCAGCAAACTTTTAAAGGGAGGGAGCTGCAGTGAATTCAAGTGAGGGAACGACTGAGTAATTAATTACATCTGAAATGTTCACTATTTTCTGTATTGGATTTCCTTTGAAAAGGAGAAGTACATGGATGATGAAAAGCAATTATTTGTTCTAAAAACATTTATTGAGCACCAGCTTTGGACTGTGGGCTAATTCAAGGCAGAGTAACTGATCCATTACAGAATCTACGCACATCGGAGTCCCACAGATTTCTGTCATTATAGTGGATCGCCGTATCCTGGAGTAATCTCAGTGGACTTACCCAGGGCCTGGCCCCTGCTTGCCTGGCTATTCCCACTAGTGAGAAACACTCAAGGACGTGGGCTATAAGTGGTGAGGGACTGCTAACTCATTATTTGACTTCAACCTGAGGAGCAGCTGTCTTCTGAAATCTCCCTTATTAGCAGCATTTCTAACTGCGTAATGAGCACCGTGGAGTTACTGGCCTTCCTCCACATACAGGGCATTTAGACGTGAGGTTTGCCTAAGTCGGAGGCACTGCTGAGGTGAATCCAAGAGCTAGAACCATGTTCTCTTCCTGTGCCCATGTCACTAGCAACTCTGCTAAGGGTCAAGTTGTGGAATGGAGGAGGTGGCTCACCCCACCTGTTAGGGACAGCCTTGGAACCTGACTGAAGTAAAAACAGGTAATACAGTATTTGTTAAAATGTCACACTCCAGCTTTCAAAACTTGAAGAAATGAGGCTGTGAGGAATCTGGGGTGATCTTCAGCTCCTGGACTGAAAGCATCCTCATCTTCATCTTCAAGAAGCTCCCAGGAGGCCTGCATCCCAGCTTCCAGCCTTGCTGGCTCCAGAAATAACCTTTCCCGAAGCCCTATCTTTCCTCTCCACCTTGTCCTTTCCTCCCATTGCCATCAACTAAGATGAGGACATGGGAGGTCCTTCAGTGTTTCTGAGAGACTTCTCACCTTTGGCCTCTGTGTTTAAGACCCACATGGATGCCCATAGCTGTGGTCTGTGTCGCATTCTGGATGATTGCCAGATACGCATCTCTGGCCCCAGCTGATCCTGAGCGCTTGTCTTGCATCTCCAGCAGACTGTGCTGAGGTCCTCAGATTCAGAGGGTCTGAGGGAACCCTTACTCATCTTCCTCCTGTGATGTGCTGTTATGGTCCCCATGCTCATTTGTGGAGGCTCTAACATCAAGAATTATTTTCAACAGCATAGCCTAATTAAATGTCAGTGCACAGTGGACAGGTGGCTCCTCACCCTCACAGCTCAGTACTCCTCGCTCTCGACCCCTCTGCCTGTTGAACACTGCCCCGTGTTCGTGGATCTAGTGCCCCTTTGTGGCCTCATTGCCTCTGACCAATTCACTCCGACTCCTGCTCCCGTGAGCCATGGCTGCTGTCCGGCTGGTCCCCTGACTGCAGTCTGTCTAGCCCATTACTGTGGGTCTCCTCTGTCACCACCTACTGGGCTTCCCTTCTCTATCCACTGCCTTCACTTCTGCACCCATCAAAGTCTACTAGCAGTAATTTTCTTGATATGGCACTGTCTCCCACCCTGGATCCTATGAAGACATTATTAATCTCTACCCCTGTAGCACCCAGGAGGCACAAAGTAGACTCTTAAATATAAAATGAACAAACCATACTTGGCGAGAATCTTCTCTGAAAGCCAGATACAGCCCAGGATGAAAGGGTCTGGCAGTAGCTACACCTCTTCTTTGCAGTTCCCTTCAAATCCTAGGAATCTGGTAAGTGTGAAACCTCACCCAACCTGTGTAAAGGCTTGATTATTAACGTTTCCCTATGGCCTTCAGGGCCACTGGGATCTCTTTTAACCCCTTTGTAGGTCCTTATTTTCAAGGGGTGGCTGTAGGAGTATGTGAAAGAGGGACTTTGCAAAATACTTGACAGCAGGCACCCAAAACATTCTCTTCCTTCCCTCCACACCTACCAGAAAAGAATGAAAAATGCTCCTAAGAATTTTTAGGGTAGTGAAACTGTACTCTGCGTACTTTAATAGTAGATGCATGTCCTTGTGCACTCATTCAAACCTATAGAATGTGCAACACCAAGAGTGGACCTCACTGTCAGCTATGAACTGCGTGATCGTGATGTGTCAGTGCAGGTTCATCCTTTGTAACACATGCACCACTGAAGGGGGGTGTTGATGGTAGCGGCTGCATGTGTGGGGACAGGAAGTACATGGGAAATCTCTGTACCTTCCTCTTTGTTTTGCTGTGAACCTAAAGCTGCTTTAGAGTTCTGATGTGAAGTTGGAAGCCCAGTCATAGGGAGGTGGCTTCCATCCTCTTGGAGGTGGGGAAGGCCTGGCCTGGCAGTCCTAGTGCTCTACAGAGGCCTCACCAAGCTGCCTTTACGTGCTTCAGCGACTAGCACTTAGAACAGACGAGCTCAGGAAGACACAGGAAGGTGTGGCCAGGTCATCCTGAAGACAGCAGAGTCCCAGGAAGGCTTAGTGCTGGCTACTGGAGGTGGTAACCTAGGGGCAGGGCTGGAGCTTGCTTACATTGACTCAGACTTCTCTGGTGACAGGCTTCAAGATCCTGCCCTTGCCTGGGACTCCTGGACAGCCCCATGTTGAGCAAGTTGCTGCAATTTAGCCTGGAGGGATTGCAAAACCCTGCTGTGATGGGGCAAGGCAGCGCCCATCTGAGATGATGTTAGTAAGTGAGCTGGAAGGGGTAGAGTGAATGTAGCCAGGTGTTCTGGATACTGAAGCCAGCAGTTCTTCCAAATCAGAGGATCCTTCAGGGGAACAGAGTAGAGAACAGAGAACCACAAGCACCTTCTGCCGTCTGATCTTTGAAAAGTAAGCCAAAAGCGTACTAGAGGATAATAGTCTCTTTAAAAAATGGTGCTGGGAAAACTGACTAGACACATGCTGAAGATTAGATCAAGACCTATCTCTCTCAACATGTGCTCAACTAAAATCGAAATGAATCAAAGATCTAAATGTTAAATCACAGACACTTATTCTGCCGGGAGATAAAATTGGTAAAGTCTTGAAGACATAGGCAAGAACTTGGTAAACAGAACTCCAGCTGCATAAGAAATAATGTCAAGGATCAACAAATCAGATCATATCAAAAAGCTTCAGTATAGCAAAGGAAAAACCAACAAGAGTGTGAAGAGAGAACCCACAGAATGGGGAAAAATATTTTGCTAGCTATTGCATGGACAGAGGACTAACATCTATAATATAAAGAACTGAAAAAATTAGAACCTCCCAAAATAAAAGACCTAATCATCAATAAACACCTGACTTTTCAGAAGAAGTATAAATGGCCAACATCTCTGGCCAGTAAAGAAATGCAAATTAGGGGCCAGGTATTTGGCTCAGTGGTTATGTGCCACCTGCCTCATAAGCACAGGGGCTCGAGTTTGATCCCTGGTACTAACAACAAAAACAAGAAATACAATTTAAGTCAAAACTGAGATTCCATCTTACTCCAGAAAGAATGGCTCTTATCAGGAAGTCAAAAAAAAAAAAATGCTGGGGAGGCTGTGTGTGTGGGTGGGGGAGACCCTCCTATATTGCTGTTGGGAGTGTAAATTAGTACAACCACCATGGAAATGTGTATGGAGATTCTTTAAAAAACTTGGAACACAAATTCCATTCAACCCAGCTATTCCTCTTCTACGTATCTGCTGGAAGGAGTTAAATACATCATTTACAGTGATACATGCATACTCATGTTTATTGCAGTGGAACTCATAATAGCTAAATCTTGGAAGCTGCCTATGTGTTCATCAATAGATGAATTGATAAAAGAAATGTGATGTTTATGTGAGTACTACTGTGCCATAAAGAGGGATAAACGAGTCATTTGTAGGAAAATGGATGCACCATATTGAGACC